AATTGTACAAGGAGTGCGCAACAGACCAACACACAACCTTTCGAAAACCGAGCTGCTGTAGTTTCTGAAGAAAAGGAGAAAAGTGCGGCAAAAGCTGAAACAGCATCGATGACTATGGAAAATGGAAATATGTCTTCAATGCTACTTACTCTACACCTAATAGCTACCGTTGGTCAGAACAAAGACGCACGCCACGGGCTCTTAGCCATGTTCTTCAACAACTACCACGCGTGCACAAGAACCGCGTCATCATTAACCCCTCTACATACCCGTCATTTCCACGCCTGCATCGGAACTGCGGGCCCCTCGTCGTCACTAACTCTACTACATATCCGACACTTCGTGCCAGCATGTTGTACCAGGTGTCCTAGAACGGGGGAAGAGTAAGAGTTCGCAAAGACTATGAGTTTGGGGAGCATGTTGTACCAGGTGTCCTAGAACGGGGGAACAATAAGAGTTCGCAAAGGCTATGAGTATGGGGAGCATGTTGTACCATGTCCTAGAACGGGGGAACAATAAGAGTTCGCAAAGGCTATGAGTCTGGGGATGCCTAACAAACGTTGATAGTCCCAGTTCATTACTGAGCTGAGATATGGATGGACAAAGGCACAGGAAAGCACAAGATAGCTAGTATGGTACTCTTGCTTTGCCAAGAAGGTAGCAGTTGGTTTTGCAGACACACTGACCAGATTCTGACGCGGATGGTTACGACCATGACCTGAAAGATTGGCCGGACTAGTCAGTAACTCAATCTCTACAGCTATTACCATTACTGATCTCGGCATGCGATAAGAAACCCAGACCTATCCACTCGCTCGATCCCTGATCAAAACGGGGGCTAACCCCCTGCCACTGTCCGCGTTGCCCGGAAACCCCCCCATCCACCAGCCTTTTGCATCCCTCGTTTCCGTTCTCCTCATAACCACGTACGACAAGTGTCAAGTCATGGCATGACTGCATTCGATAAGAATGCCACAGTGTGGTTATGAAGAAGAACGAAAACGAGGGACGCTTCCTATTCCCAGTCAGCACACCGTGCTTTTCCGGTCGGTCCAATCCATCCATCCATTCAGCCCCGCCATTCCTGTTCGCCCGTCCTCTCTCTCTCTCTCTCTCTCTCTCTCTCTCTCTCTCTCTCTCTCTCTCTCTCTCTCTCTCTCTCTCTCTCTCTTTTTCTCTCTCTCTCTCTTCTCTCTCTCTCTCTCTCTCTCTCTCTCTCTCTCTCTCTCTCTCTCTCTCTCTCTCTCTCTCTCTCTCTCTCTCTCTCTCTCTCTGTGTGTGTGTGTGGGGGTACAAGCAATACCGACAAAATTTATCCCTTTTGGCCACACCTTCGTACAGTTGCTCTTCGGGGTTATCGAAGGGCCCCCTGCAGTCTCCCTCCGGCCGTTAGGTTTACCTTCGGCAGGCTCCATTCAGATCTGGCAGAGCGCTAGGCAGGCAGGCGGCAGGCACGAATGAATGACCAAGTTCTCCTTAGAAGATGTGCCGCGTGCTTGCTGTAAGGAACACTGCTCGACTGAAGTAGACATGATGCACAACTCGACCTTCGTCCGCGCATTCAATCCTCCCTCAGTCTGTACCTACCCTGTTTTCAAACTGTTTTTTTTTTGCCCATTCCGAACATGGGGTGTGACATGAACGTACTTGCCCATTCTGACACATACTCTGCAGCAGGTACAACAGCTCCCACTGGTGCAGCTGGTACACGTGCTGCAGCTGCACGATCTTCTGCACCTCCTCCAGGTAATGCAGATGCTGCAGCAGCTGCATCACCTGCAAGCAGTGAAAATGGTCGTGCAGCTGCAGCAGGTGCAACGGCTGCACCTGTTGCTCCTGCAGCTGCTGCATCACCTTAGGAAGTGCTGGAGGTCCTGCAGCTGCAACTGTTGCAACTGCTGCAAGTGCTGCAGCTGCATCTGCTGCAGCGGACCCGCGGCCCCTAAAGTGGGGCATCAAGCACACCTGTCGCATACCGTAAAGGTGCAGACCAGAACAAGAACCGACCTCTCTCACATAGTACAAGATAGCACAGCGGAAGGCTTAGATACCAATGATCCGAACAATCAATGTTGCCATGCAGACCAGACATACATCATCATCATTCCATGGTGTGAAGGGGCTGGGCGCTCACACAGGAAGAATGCGCCAGTCCCCAACCATACACAAACAAAGAAGAGGGGGGTTAGACGAAGAAGAGGGGAAGAGGGGAATGTCGTCAATACCAAGTCTTCGGTACAGGTCCCAAATAATCCCTCGTCAAATGTCTGAATCCCAATGTCGAGTCTGGACCCAAATGTCGTCAAGTCCCAAAGTCACCAATCTTTCTCTCTCTCGTAGTCTGCAGATACTGAGAAGTCAGGTAGCGAGAGGGGGGGGGGAGGAGATGGTGGACTTAGAAGAGGAAGAAGAAGAACTCTCTCTCTCTCTCTCAGTCCGGTACTAACCTGTGAAGGTGGCGCCTTGGTGCAGGTACATCGAAGACGAAGCTGGAGCTATGGCGCCACAGGTAAGTCTCCCTGGCCTGCGCCAACCATCTCTCTCTCTCTCCACTACTACTCTAGCTCCTGATAGCGCCCAGCGCTGAAGACACTGCTAACGCTACTACTACTAGTGCAGCGCTCCTCCAGAGTGCTGCTGCCGAATCCTGAAGACTGCCTCCTGCCTCCTTCACGTGAAGTGCCTGGGAAGTTCCTATGAACTACCTCGTGACTGTCYGCAGCCTGTAGRGYGGGCCAGTCTTATATAGTGCTGGCCCGTCCAGGAGGCCGCTCTTGCCAATGCCAAAACGTGCCAGACCCTGGCGTTGAAGTTCAAACAAAGGTTGTCTTAAAAACAGGCCAAAAATGGCCTGTGCTAAAACCCTGGTCTGGGCAGGTCGATCTTATGAGGGCCTGAAAATGGCCCTCCGTTTCAGGCTGAAAAGACTCAGGGCCTGGAGGGCCCTGTTTTAGGCTGAAACGACATAGGGCCTGTAGGCTGAAACGACATAGGGCCTGTAGGCCCTCATTTTCAGGCTTTCAGGCTGAAAACGCTGGTTGGGCCCTGCAGGCCCGTGTGGCTGCGCAGTATGCCACAACACCCCTCTCCCCCCCCTCCCTCGCCCCAAATTTTTGTTTCTTAATTAGGTGCATGAACCCCGACAGCGCCATCCCCAACCAAAAAAAATTCACCTTGGGGGGTGGCTGTATTTTTTTTGGACCCCTCTACCTCCCTCCTAACCCCCCCCCCCCCCCCTCGAAAAAAAAACTTTTTTTTTTTCATGGGGGGATGCAGCCCACCCCCCGCAGCCGGAAACGAGTCCCCAACCTGGTTGGGACCCTCCTCCCCTGACACGTGCTGGGCCTGTCCCGGCTGTGAACGGGCCCAGTCATGACCCGGACCCCCAGTCGTGGCCGGGCCAGTCACCGGTCACGGTGTCATCAATGATGGGCTTGCTGTGTGACAATGTTTATGAATTGAGCATGCTGTTGTTTGCCTTCGGATTGAAGGTTCAAGCAAATTACCAACCTGTACCGCAACGGTTGCAACCTAGGCCTTTTTGTTTACATAAAGAAAAGGAATAATATTGAATAAATAGTAGTCTCTGGAGATGATTGTGGACCAATTCATCCAGGTCGGGCTGTAATAGCAGTCAGATATGGAAATAGTGGTTTGAGTATGTCCTAGCGAGACCTACCCCAGGCGGGTGTACTCACATGTTGCTGTTGAGAAAAGGGGCCAACTCCCACTTACACTGCTGCTTAATTTCAGGCCGTTGATCTTCGTAATCTACAGTCAGAAATTGAAAATTTGGGTGAGTGGGACTTGCCCCCAGGTCATTAATTTGCATACTGATGGAATCAGCTGTATACCATAAAGTTACGAGCTGACCGGAAAGAAAAAAGGGGGATCTATGGCGCAGTCACGAAAACAGTTTGAAAATACACTTCAGGCATTCCCCCGAACATAGCTCACACCCATGTGACCCCATCGGACTCGAAACCTAGCTTGTATACATTCGACATTTTCAGGCCTTTGACTGAAGTGCATTTTCAAACTCAACCCCTGACTGCGCCGTAGTTTTCTCAAAAAAAAAAAAGAGGTGGCCCTCATTTCCCTGCTATTCTGTTCTAACACTACAGTTAAACCACCACTGCCTCCGAGGCTCTTTTTCCCACTTGAAGGCGGAAACGAACTGCACGCCAAGCTTTGCCGAAGCGCCAGCACGACTTTGTTTTGGGTTTTGGCTGGCCCCGTTAGCCATTTTGGTCTGATGGCGACCGGCCTCCGAAGAATGCGGTGTATGACGTATTTGCATTTCGAGTTTGCCTGTGAAAAGTAGTGGTGGTTTGAACCACCAGTATGTCTCCCAGTCATTTTTTCGAAGATGCGGCTTGCATGCTGCCGCAACTTTCAGGGTTCAGCAGCCAGAGAAAAATGGCTGGCGGCGCCAGCCAAAACGAGGCCCACGCCGGTTCTTTTTTTTGGCGCACAGGCGTTTGGAGCCACGGGCAAAAGCGCCTTGGACGTACTGGCGGTTTAGTACTCTGCATGAAGCATGGCTCAATCTACTGGACCAAAACGGCTGCCAGCACCAGCTGAGAACAAAAAAACATTGCACCCACCCTGACTCGTTTTTTGGGCGCGCAACACCAGTGTCAGCTGGGAAAAAGTGGCTGGGATGTAGTGGTGGCAAGAAAGTAAACAGCAAAACTATTAATTATGTATTAGCAAGAAAATAATAAACATGGAAAATAAAGGTTTTGTTAATCATTACCCTCTGCAATTTTATTATATATCTTGATCCCATTATCGCTGTTTGTCGTGGACGCGTTGGGGCAATACCACTCCATTGACTCCACTTTCCACCCTGCTACTTCATCGCTTTGAAACCTTGATATTGTTTCTTCCATCATGGTTCTGGTTCTGGGCACCATGCCTGTCTGCCCATTCTGTGTAATTAAGCTTTGTATCCCTGAAAACAGAGCACTTGGGACAATGTACGAGACCCCATCTGGCATATTAATGTGAATTTTCAGCACCTGTTGGCCAACACATAACACATTCAGTCTGTGAGCGGCGTCCTCTTATAACAAATTCAAGATCACAGCTTTTGGACTCGATTACATTTTTCGTCAAACGAGATGCCAAAATCTGAAGTCAAATTATTCTGCCTGAAGTAGATATTCAGTTGCTTCTCATTGTATACAGGGAGAATCATACAGGTATCAAACAGAGTCGCGTCACACCACTCAAGTGAGTATGAGACAAGACAAGTGTGAGAAAAACACAACCTCGAAAATTACGGTCCCAATCAATCTCAAAAGTACAGAGTTTAGTACAACCACACACCCAAGACCACGGCCTCCGTCCCCTACCGCAAGCGGCAGCAGGCGCACCGTAAGAGGAGGTGAACGTTCGAAGTCACACTCTATATAGTCTTCCGGCACTTGCACGGTAAGGACGGGAAAATGTGCCACCCGGTAACGGGACTGTTCCAGGTTTATCAATTGACACTACCAAGTACCGACTGATACGAAAATTGAAGGGACCAAAAGACGTGCCCCCTGCAATTGGCAACGGTTCGACTCCTAACAGGTCTATCCTAAACATAAACGGCACAACACTACTATCAGACTATGAAACACTCGAGCCGGAATCACAAAAGGGAAGGAAAAACAAAATCATTCAATCAACACAAAAAAAGCACAGTACTGGCATTTGCCTGGCGAACAACCCTGTCTGACCATCCTATAGAACTGCGCGTCATCCCGCCTTATCTTAGTCCTAAGTCTCACCACCCCGTCATAAGTTCAATGTCTGTTTCCACACAGCATCTCTCCTGAACGCAAATCTTCACAGCACTCTATCAAAGAAGCTGGCTGGGACATCTTTCAGTCGCAGTTCGCGTTTGAGCGACAGGACCCTCCCAGGGATCGCACTCCGAATGGAGGTATTACGATCAATACGATGCAAGTAACTGGTAATTGCCACACTCTTCTGTTGTTTGCTTCCCCAGAAGAGAAATGACTGCCCCGTCTGAATCTCGATGTCCCCTGTAGTCCATAAACTAACCTCAGTCCGTCACATCTGAACGCAAGCCAAATATGGGTAGTTACGTGAGAGCTGACTTCGCATCCCAGGAAATCCAGCGTCGGTCTCATCATCCGTACGTTTTAAACATAGATTACATGGATAACAGGTCTGAAACTGTTGCAAAACCCATTTCAGCTTCCCCCCGGACAGTGAAGCAACAACAAGAATCACATTATCCATCAATCTCAAGCCAAACACTTGACGACCATATCTCCCCAAACCACGCAGGTACATCGCTTCGGCTTGTGCACAGAGTATGCAGGCAAGAGGGGGACTGGTACTCTTGCCCATAGGTATCCCCACCTCTTGCTTGAGCAACACCGACGTAGCGTACGTGTAAGTGTGTTGTAGATCGATCTTGACAAAAGTCCCTAGATCCTGAAGATCGACACGTCTCCAGTGGTCAGCTCCAGTAGTCAGTCCAAAGGATGCACCTCTCCCTTTCGTATTCACACGAATAAAAACCCTGCCCTTCTCCATATGATAGCTCAGCAACCATTCAATGGCTCTCAGTATGTCACTATGCGGCAGACGGGTAAACATATCCTTAACGTCAAAAGATTGTGCAGTAATCGCAGTCAAGTGACTGATACGTCTGATCTTATTGTTGATCTTCTTCAGCTCAGCAGTCAACTGCGAAAAGGCAGAAAGACTAAAATGCCAATTTGCTGGTAAATGATTGAGCAAGAAATTCAGTCCGCGAGCAACAATTCTACTAATACGAACCATAGGTTCGCTAAAGGTAGGACAGATTGGGCGATAGCGCGTCAGATCTTTGTGTTTGGGGATGACATAGGTTGAGCTTAGCTTGCCCTTGCTGTCCCAACGGACAAACTTAAGCAATCCAGCCCCCCTCATATGAAGCTACGACAGCATATCCTAGGCTCCTAACAAAGGTATTCACCATGGCCTCGTAGTAAGTCTTGGAACACATGACTATGGTCTCCCCCTGGTTACGGTCAAGTGGGGTAGGCACAAGGCCGTCGAAGCGCTGCTTTAAGGCAAT